TGGGAAATAGTGATAGGGAAATAAAGGTGAAATAAAAGGAATATAATAAGGGAATAATAGGGAAATAATAGGGAAATCATAAAGAAAAATGGGCATAATAAGGAAATAGGTAGATAATCGGGAAATAATTGGGAAACAACAGGGGAATAATTGGGAAATAATGAGATAAGTAAGAGGGAAACAATGGTAAAATAATTGGGAAATAATAGTTGGCCCAGTAATATATTAGATGCTTTATTTTTTGGAGAATCTTTCTCTACACAAAAAGATTCCAGTTGGGATGTTCCAAGTTTGAGTTGTAGCCAGTGATTAAACAATCACATAATCACCAAAAAACAAAATTTGAAATAGCCTCGGCATTGTTTGCATGCATCATGTTCTCCGCAGAACTAAAATTCCAACAGCTGCTGATTCTTTGGATTTTGGCAAAATTCTTTTGAGGCGCCCGGTCCTGGGCTGAAATGGCACTACACCAAAGTTCACCAAAAGGATTCTCCAGGCGTAGAAGCGTGCTTTGAATAATTTCTACAGAAAGACTAAATGGCAAAATGAGAAAACCCGCTGTCGCACATCTCGCTTGAAGCTCAGCCGGGCGCAAGATTCTGTGCACGTTCTGCAGATCCGCGGCTGCGTAGGCTCGATGTTCCCACAACATGGCCGTAATAGCATCTCGAGGCTGGTCTTGGATGCTACCCAAAATGGGTGTGGAGTGAGGGTGCTCACCTTGTTCGATGATGACATGAGCTTGAACACATTCCATGCGACTGCATGGCGGGTTAGGCTGGACCACACGAAGCGAAAAAGGTTGATCAGGGTCAGCAAGGTCGCCCCAAGGTTCAAGTAGCTCATCAAGCCAAAGGTTTTGCTCATCAGTCAATCGCACCGGCTTCCCTTCATAGCAACGTGGGCGCGGTGTGTGATGCAAGTACCATGTAGTCAAGTACATAATTCTCCCCTCTTCCTCGCACTCAATAGGATCAGCATCTCGAAGCGCTGCAAGCAGCTGCCGTCTTTGTGCATAAGGTAGGGCATCACGATGATTGTAGACCCGCCGTGGGGCAGGATGGTCTGCAGCATTGCTATAGATTGGAGGTACTTGCTCTTGAGTGGGGTCGGTTTTGAACCCCCATCCATATTCATCTCGACTCTGGCCACTGGAGAGCTGGGGAAATGCCATTGCGGGACGGCAAACATCTTCTGCCAGGTCGCGTGCCAAGCCGATAGCAACCTCTGTGTCAATGTTCGAACCATCTGGTGGTGGAACCTGGATCCGCACATAGGTGCCATGCTCAAGGTCGTGAACGCGACGATCTTGTGCGGACAAAACGTCGTGATTTTTGTAGACAGTGCGTGCATCACGTTCCAGTTGGCAATACTCATGAAGTCCAGAGAGCAGGAAATTTTTGTTCTCGATGAACTTGTGCTGGGATCTTCACAACTCTGCGGCTGACTGCTGTAGGCACCAGCATTCCACTTGGTAGTGGATGGAAGTGGATTTCCATATCAGCCAGGGTGAGTTTGTCATTGGACATCATTGGGCCCTGCCGCAATGTCGTGAATGGTCTACATGATGACAACCTCTTCTGATTCTGGATGCGCTCCAACTGGGACGACAAGTAGTGAAAGCATCTGACTTCGGGGAGACCGCTGGCTCTGATGATCCCATTCAAGGTCGACATGTAAGTAGCCCCAGGTGCAAAGCAGTGTAGGTCAGGAGCAGCTAATCTGTAGATCAGCAGACGCAAGTCACCGCTATGCAGGCTGCTTTCATCATCATCTCCTCCCATAGGTTCAGGAAAATCATGGTCATCTGGTGGGGGATCGTGTGGGCCAGGGTGTCGATCCGACTCACCAGCTTGTTGGGCTGCTTCTCGTTGTTGGCCTTCTTCGCGAGCTGTCGTTGTAGCTGGCGGAGTCATCAATGGTGGAGTATTGGGCAACGTAACGGCACAGGGATCTCCTGCTTGTACATCATGAACTGGCGCCAAAGTATATGGAATCAAAGTCCAAGCATGAGTGCTGGCGCATCGATTGTCTGGTTGACTGCACCACTGGGCCAGATCTACCGCAGCTGCCAATCCAGCAAGTCGATGAGTCCAATGTCCTTGAGAAAAAATGACATCAGCGTGTACAACTCGATGTAGATATCCTCGATAGGGATCAGGCCTAACGACATAGGTGCGAATCTCCTGGTTGGGCTGCACCATTTCTTGCCAAGCCAGAACAAGATCACGTCCCAGTACTATTGTACTACAAAGCTTGCAAGCAGTACTACTTTGTACTACAAAGCTTGCACAAAGCACTTCCCAGTACTACTTTGTACTACAAAGCTTGCACAACGTACTGTCGGAGGTCTGCATGATGAATGAACCATGTTCTGAGCCTCAGTGCCGCATCACTATGTAAATCTGTGAAAGCACGATGTGTGTCGGCAAGTTCAAAGAGCTCATGTACAAATTTAGGTGCCGTTGTGGGATCTGGGATCACATCTGGGCCATCTGGGTCCTCTTCATGTGCCTCTCCGTTGCCTCACTCAGGCAGCAAGGGATCAAGGGATGATGCCATTCATCGGATCAACAACTTCGGACTGCGGTTCCTGGCGTCTCATGGCGTCTCCACCTCCAAGTCGGAAGTTGATGAATTGATTCATAAATCTCGCGCCTTGATGAATTGGTTAGTTCATAAATCTCGAGCAACCAAACCCATGGTCGTGCAAATTTGCCCCATGCTTAGCACACCAAGCAATGAGAGCATCACTGTGCAAAAACGTCGTCTCGATCATCTGCAAGGAGTCATCAGGGCCAAACAAAAACCGAACTTCATCGGCAAAATGCACAGTAGGACGAAGTTTACCACTGGGAAAATCGCTGTGTGCTGCATGCTGTACGCAACAGAAGATACAAAGGTATTGTTCCAGTTCCCCTGAACTGGAAATGTGCCAACTTCAAATGAGAGGTCGAAGGCACACCCTTGGGCTTCACAGAGCGATACAAAGCCATCATCATTGAGGATAGAATGCCTCATGCCCAGTCCAGGATCATAGCATTCAATTGACCACGCCGGCTTCTCACAGGGATGCAAGATGTCATCCATTGTGAGCCGTACCAAAAGGTTGCAGAGAGGGCAAACCAGCAGCTGCGGAAGTTGGCGCAGCACCAACGGGAACTTCTGCTGGGGTGACCATTGTCTCTTCCTTCCGAGGTCGCTTCTTCTGTTGCTCTTGCTCCTCCACATGTATGCTCTTGGTCTGCTTGTTTGGCAAGCTCCTCGAGGGACTCTGTGAGATGTTGGAGACCTGCACGGGGATCTTCATGGAGCTTTCCTCCTTCATGACGTTCTCGACGTCCATAGCTGGGTCTTCGTCTGCGTCGATCGCAATGAGACCTTTGTTCTGCATCTCTTTGAAGACCTCCTGTGCTTGTTTCAGCTCCTCTCTGGCGTGGCTGATAGCTCCCAAATTCACACGCTCTTGCTGCTGGAATCACTCTGTGTTGCTCTCGGCTTGAGGGGATGTGTCTGGTCCCGCAGCTGTGTTTCGTTGAATGGGGGCGGAGGCTGCATCCATGTCGTATCATGTCGTATCCATGGTGCTCAGAAATCGGCGGGTTTGGAGGTGGTGGCAATGGTGCCATCCCCTGTTGGCCCAAATAGCCCTTGGCTTTGGGTTGCTCCTGACTCTTTGTCTGTCCCTTGGGATGTTCTTTGCCTTTTCCATCGCCTTTTCCTTTGTGACCAGCTTCTCCATAATGTCTTCTGGAACCCGTGATTGCCATCCTTCCCAAGAATTGCCCGAGTAGGCCTGGCTCCTGTACAAACTGCGCCTTGTAGTCCCTGAGCGCAACTTCTTGCTGGACGGTCCGCACACCCTTCCCAGTGCTGACCACAGCCAAGGCAAAAGGTGACACTGCCTTTGACCATCCTTCGACAATCCACGCATTTCCATGGCGGAGACTTCAAAGTCGCCATTGCAAATGAAAGCGGAGTCTTGCTCTCGCCCTGGCACGCCTTGCTGATCTCCTCTTGCCCGGAGTAATTTTGCACACCCTCCTTATCCCGAATCAAAATGGTGAACAAGTAGATCCAAATCGCCAAACTCATACATAAGGAAGAAGGCAAACTTGGTGAGTAGAAGCGCAGCACCAAAAGGATCGAGATGGCAGATGCACCCGGGCAATTGGGAGGGCCGGGACCCTAGGTTTGCCAGAGCACAAGGTACTTGGAGAGGCTAAGCGAATAGCAGCTAACCAGGCACCCGCGGTGCAATCCACGGCAGCAGCAAATTGCACGCCGCTACGGAAACAAAACTCTAGGGCACCCTCGTGTAGCTGGTCACACCCAGAGCCAGACCTTTTTCTTAGTTCATAGAGGAAAACAATATGATAATATATATATATATGGTACCCCCAAAGATATACCATTTTTGACCTACCTTTTTGAAATCTTGTGGTTTGGGATGATAATCGAGCAATTAATTGAAAGAGGGGACCGTATATATATATTTTAAATAAACACGTATACATATAGAGGCATATGCGTTGAATCAACAAAACGTGGCAAATCCCCAAAAAATGCAAACTTTGCAAACTTTCCTGGATTCAAGATTCAAGATTCTGGGGGAACTTCTTGAATCCAGGCCTGGTCAGTCAGCGCTTGGATTCAAGAAGTAGAATCCAGAATCTTGAATCTTGAATCTTGAATGCCAAAAAAAAATGCAAACTTTCCTGGATTCAAGATTCAAGAAGTAGAATCCAGAATCTTGAATCTTGAATCCCAAAAAAATTGCAAACTTGTGAAACAACCCTTACAGTACAACGACCTTTGCATTAACTTCCATGTGTATATACATGTACATACATATACATGTATATGTAAAAATATATACATAGCTATATATATATAAATCCAAAATCAAAATGGGGCGGCCACCAAGGCCTCCAATGAACGCTTGATCGGAAGTTGTGAGCCAAGTCATGAAAGTCGATATGGTTGGGCCAGGTATCCCCTTGCGACCCTGCGCTGCCAAAGCAGACGGACGGTCCCGCAACATCTGTGGCCAATCAGCTGCCAAATCCACGACCTCTGCACCTGACTTGTTTGCTCAATCTTGCTCATTCTGCACTTGCCCCTGAAAACTCTTGAGCGCATTGCAAAGAAAACAAACTTTCTTGCACAACACTGCTGGCCTTTAGCTGCTGAGTTCACGAGTTGACTGACGAAAAGAGACGCCGCATATATATATATACATATATATATGTATATATATATATATACATACACATACATAGATGGATTACACCCACATATATCTATGCATATGTATATTTAAAGTACCAGTAGTACCGCACAAGGCGGTGGCGGAAGTTTCAAAAATAGGAAACCTATAGGAGAGGTTGGTTGTTGTGAATCAGGGATGGCAGAGCGAAGCCACTGATGGACTGAAAGGTGCTTGAGGTCTCCTCTCTTTCTCTCTCTTTCTCTCTTTTTCTCTCTTTTTCTCTGTGTTTCTCTATCTTTCTCGGATTATCGACCTACCTACCTACCTACTGATCTATCTGTCCACCTATCTATCTGTCTGTCTGTCTATCTATCCCCCTATCTATCTATCTATCTACCTATCTATCTAGCTGTCTAGTTTTCCAGCTATTTGTCTATCTATCTACCTACCTACCTATCTATCTATCTCTCTCTCTCTCTCTGTCTGTCTATCTATCTACCTGTCTATCTGCAAGCTTGAAAACCAAGCTATTCTGGGAGATGTCTTCATTGTTCAAAGTTGACAACATCAAAAACGAAGCAATTCTCCGAGACTTCCTCAATGTTTGAACTTGACCAGAACTTGACAATGTCAACAACGAAGCAATTCTGCGAGACCTCTTCATTTTTCAAAGTTGACAACATAAAAAACGCAGCAATTCAGCGAGACTTCCTTAAAAAATGGAAAGTTCAGTGCAGCGCTGACAGCCTCGTACCAATGCGTTTTGCGATTTTTCCACTCCACCTGTCTAAAGTACTGCGCCTGCCACGAAAAAGATATGCCAGGTCATACGAAGTGCTGCACATGTCACGCAAAATCATCTTAGCAAACCTACAGATCTGATGCTCCAAAATGCAACCCCTCGCAGGAAATCAGCGCCCTGACCTCCTAACATCTCTCATGAACACGTCTTTTGTACTGCGCCTGCCACGGAAAATGCATCTTTGCAGATCCTCTTCAAATGTCCCACGCCTGCCATCGTTTTTTGGAAATGCGCTTGCTCACTTTTGAGAAAGTGCACAATCCCTTGTGCCTGCCACGCGAAACAACATCTGAACGTCCAAAAGTGGTCCGAACCCCTGGTGTTTTTAACATTTTGACATGGAAATGTGCTTTGCGCCACAACGGCGTGCACTTTTTCGACATCGCAACTTCCAAAAGTGGTCTGAGCATGGTGTGCTTTGTCCATTTTGACTTCGAAATGTGCTTCGCGGGCACTTTTTCGACATCTCAACTTCCAAAAGTGGTCCGACAATGGTGTGTTTTGTGCATTTTGACTTGGAAATGTGCTTCGTGCCACAACGGCGTGCAATTTTTCATCTCTCATCTGGCCAGCTGGCTCCGCACCCGCCGCTTTAGCGAGCCTACTTTTCGACCCTCCTGAGCCACAAATTATTGGAAAAACACAGTTTCGCGGCTTTCCTACCTTTTCGCGCATCTGCATCTTCTTTCTTCTGACTCTTTCTCTTCTACTCTTCTCTCTTCTAATCTTTCTCTTCTCTCTGCCTCTGCCCTGCTCTGCTTTTCATCTGTCCATATTGTCGGAAGTTTGACTTCTAAACTTCCTTCGATAATTATATATATATATGTATATATATATAACTATGTAATTGTAATTATATATTGATGCCAGCAACTCCTGACCATCCGTGCCAAGACAATGTTGACTGAGCGAAGGTAGGTATATTGATCTTTGCGGAATCGAACGGCATGTGATAAATGGCCTGAAAGGTGTCCGGTCAAGAATTGCTTGGCTGCGGCCGCAGTTTCCGCATCTGGCGAAGCCACAAAAAATACCAACCTGGCTGGAAACAGTTCGTCGAAGAAAACTCATTGACTTACTTACCAACCAAGCTCTGGCTTTAAGTGATTCAGTCCATTTCAGTCCAACATAGTCCAACCCAGCTGAACTGACCTGTTGCATTCAGGGCCATAAGTTTCCACGATAGCTTTGGCTGCTCCCTCCTGAAGATATGCAAAGCAAAGGATTACCATCCGAACATTTTGGACATGACAAAGCAGTGCGAATGCAATGCGAATAGCAACAGCAGTCGTAATCCAAGAAAACTTCCAGGCAAAAAAGGCGGCTCGGGATACTTTGCTAGCGAATGAATCTCTTGAACACCTTCCATTGTGACACTGGCCTATGAAGTGAAAAGCAAAGAGGGTTTAGCACATTTTAGAAAGCCTATATGGTTTGATAGATTTCCATAGATTTTGGAGTGTTTGGGATGTTTTGGATTGCTTTGGTTAGTTTGATTGCACTGTGCAAATTCTTTGCAGGTGTGTTCGTCCTCTCCCGGCCAAACCAGAGGCACGGCGCAAAGCACGGAGGCATCCTGTTTGCGTATGCTTCGTTGCAGCTGCAAGTCATCAAGAAGCAAAAAAACATCAAAAAAACATTGCAAAAACAGCGCTATACCGAGGACATCTGAGGATTGAATGGAGATGAGGGTCAAACTCAGGAAATTGATGCAGATCAAACATTTCTGCCATTCAACAAGAAGGCAATCGCACAAGATCGCAAAAGCATAATAGACTAATGGATACTAATGGGGGATCCATCAAAACACAACCCCCCCCCCCACTTTGTGGTTTATTGGGCACATACCCGCTGGACAACAAAAGCCGTGGCGGGTTTGGGCAAGGTCTGCTGATATACTTTCAATTTCCAAACTCCTACTAAACTGGCTTCACCCTGCTTAACCTCAAGTGATTCAATTAAGTGATTCAATTAAGTGATTCAATTGAGATGGATACCGCAGGAAGATACAAGAATAACAAAAGGATCCAAAAAGGCCCATGCAAGGTTGCGCTCTTCCGATGTCACCCCTATTTACTCTCTCCTTCATCTATTTTCTACCTTCCTTGCATGTGTAGGCCAGATTAGGCCAGAATTGCAGGGTTGAGGAGAACATAATTTATACAATGAAGCTCGATGACTTGGCCGAAAAGTAGAGATGGGCGTGTAATCTAGTCTCAAGTGGCTTGACTGCGGCATTCGCGCGGAAATGGTGCCCCACGGAACCCCTTGAACAGAAGACGCAAAATCAACCTTGTTGCTGGTTTGAGATAGTCCTACACACGACCACAACGAGGCTGACGGAAAATGAAGACAACACCATGATAGGAATGAGAGGTGATGGCGATGATGGCATCATTGCATATCCATATATCCATGTCCATCCGTGTTGCTCTTCTGACAGTGGCATCACTCTCATGTTGTGGATGTTAAATGATGTTGATGTTGATGTTGTTGTTGTTGTTGTTGCTGTTGCTGTTGCTGTTGTTGTTGTTGTTGGTGGTGGTGGTGGTGGTTGTTGTTGTTGTTGTGGTGGTCGTGGTGGTGGTCGTGGTGGTGGTCGTGGTGGTGGTCGTGGTGGTGGTCGTGGTGGTGGTCGTGGTGGTGGTCGTGGTGGTCGTCGTGGTGGTCGTCGTGGTGGTCGTCGTGGTGGTCGTGGTGGTCGTCGTGGTGGTCGTCGTGGTGGTCGTGGTGGTGGTGGTGGTCGTCGTCGGTCTTGGTCTTGGTCTTGGTCTTGGTCTTCTTCTTGTTGTTGTTGTTGTTGTGGTTGTTGGTTGTTGGTTGTTGTTGTTGATGATGATGATGATTTTTTATTAGTATAAATTAAGTATATGTCTGACCCCCTCGTTAAGAGCCTCACAGGCAGAACCCGTGCAAAAATGATGATTTTTACTAGTATGATGACAATTACAAGGATGAGGCACGTCAGCTGTCCGAAAGCATGATCAAGATTACACTTGACAAGGCCACGCCTTTCTCTCATTCTCACCATCCTGCACAAGGCCCTCCAAGTGGCCACCTTTGGGCTCTGGACAAACAATACAAGAAACATGAAGACGCTTTACGCGTTTTACTCTGCAAGGCCTTGATAACATCACAAATTTTCAACTATGCCTGGAGGTGGGCAATAGCTACTCCGGCGAGGCCCCGTTGTCCACCAGTTGCTGGTCGAATGGACTGGCGGGGCCACAGAGAGATAAGTACCTCAGGCAAATGTGCTTGAACAACTTGAGCTGTGAATTGAGGGCCACTTAACGGCAAGGGAATCAAATGGAATTCATTTAGCCATATCAAATTGAATCCATCTCCATGGCTCTAGAATCTCGAAGAGATTTGAAGAGGGTAGACCTAGAGAGAAGCGCATTTTCCATGCGTACTGTCGCCGCTCCTCCGCTCCTCTACAACAATCCCTGCTGCTGGAAATGCGGCCTTCAAGAAGTTCCTCAGTACAGAACTGTGGCGCTTCCAAATTGCTACCTTTGCCTGGTTAAAAACAATTGTTTAGAAATTTTATGCACGGCGGGTCAACTTGTTTGCAGCGAAGACGCTGCCAGTTTTGCAGAACTTGACCCGTCCACACGGGCCAGTTGGAACCGTCCAAGCTCCCTCAGACAGTCAAGCTGAAATCTCATCTTTGGCAGGTTCGGTGCAGGTATCACATGGCATATCATGGCATAAGTATTAAGGCCCGCACCCTTGGTCAATGCCAAGAAGCCGAGGGCGTGGTCATAGTACCTGTGCACGCCACAAACGGACAAGATCTTCTTGGCCCAGCCATTCTTGCTTCCACTGCAGTGGAGATTGAGCTCAATGGCTTCAGAACCTTCAAACCTAAAGCGAGCAAGATCGAGTGAGCGGCGTGAGAAGGCAACACCAAAGGGCACAACGCACTCTGTCGGTAATATCCTTTCAGCCACATCCTTGGTCTGACAGCGTGCGATCTCTACGCAGTGTGAAATGATAAGCAGCTTTGACAGGTTCGACTCTCAAATACTTGCATTAGTAGTGCAACATAGTGCAACTCTTTCCTTTCGAGAGATCGTCAATGCCAGTGTACATTGGCCAGCTCCATGCCAGCGGTGAAGCAAAAATCACGTTGCTTCGTTTAAGATTTTGAACATAACATATGCATTAATTCCTCGAAGGTGCTGCAAGGCACACACCAGCATGTAGTGCAGCATGCCTAGTGCAAAAGAATGCAAAAGGAGGTACATATCAAAATGACTCAAAATGCCAGAATCGGCCCATGCAGAAGACTCATCACATCTCATGGCTCAAGATCACGAAACAGCGCAAACAGCAAGTCAATGCAAGTCACAAACCATCAACATTCTGGACATTCCCAGTCCTTCACTGCATGGCGCAGAAGAGGTCACGGTCGGAAGCACCTTCAGGGGAAGAGCGATTATTGTGCAAGATGTGCATGTCAAAACCCAAATCAGGTTGACAACATTGATGAGTCGACACCATGTCACACGAATGTTTCACCCACTTGAGAAGCATGAGACAAACGCGTGCGGTTGACTACAGTTGCTAACGTGACTATGTGTCACTGCATACAGGATGATGCAAATCTACGGTCGATCTGTGAATAGATATACAACCTTTTTTAAAATATTGTATATCTACTCACAGATCAACCGCAGTCTTCCGACCATGGGTCTCAAAATCTAATTTGTTCCATTCGATCTCCCTAGGTCCCATGGTAGTCACGGCAGGATCAAACCAGATCAAACTCCTGCAGATTCGTTCAGTATGCGCATACAACATTATATAGCAATATATGAGCCGCCGTCAAAATCAATTGTTGATGCTCGGTACGAAAATATAGGTTATCGTTTTTTTGGGGCTTTGCAGTGTTTTCTTCAAATCAACACAACATAATGCAAAAATGCAGCGAAATTGGCTTCGCGGATTCAGATCTCTAAACTGCTGGGAATGGATTAAGGGGCGCTCGGTGTCTTTGCGTTTGGAACCATGTTGGGGAACTATCTAAGCACATTCCTAGACTCTTTCCTAAGGAAAACGCTACACTTCCCCGCTCATGTCAAAAGCTTTAGAAATTGAAGATGGGACTTCATAGTTCCAATAATGAAGCGTTCGTAGCTATGAAGAAGTGCTTAAGACTCCCCAAGTCTCAAAACAACCTGATGAACAAGTGCTTGTTGGGATCAAAGAAAACTATCCCTCGTCCGGGGTTCCTTTTTCAACAAAAGGTTATCGCTAGGTTATCTCTAGGTTATCGCTAAATTAGAACACCCTGATGATCAAGAAAGGAAAAAGAAGGAACGTGGAACAAAAATAATTTAAAAAATAAAAGGAAAAAGGAAAGAAAGAACGAGAAAAGGAAACGAAGGAAGAAGAAAGGACAAATCAAACAAAAGGGACATAAAACAAAATCAATGAAATGCAGAATTGGATTCAGAATCAATTTTGATTTCATTCAGAATTCAAAAGGAAAATAAAAGGAACGAGGAAGGAAAAACAAAGAAAAGTAAACAAAGGAATACAAAGTTCAAATTAAAGTAAAGCAGATCAACGGAACTCATAATTAGATTTAAAACATTTTGAAACGGGTGAGGGATCAAAAAATATTTAAGGCATCAAACAAATATATTCCCCTGGAACCCCTTGTTTTCTATGGCCCTTGCCACAGTTTGGGGACAAAACCGAGCATTTCTGTTGTATTTGCATCTTTGGAAGTGGAGCCTCTCGCCCGTAAGGTTTTTGCAGGACATTGGACCTAGAAATCGAACATTCGCAGGGCTCGACGCTGCCGTTTCGACAGCACCTGCAACACTTTGGAGTTCGAGTTTTTGATTTTCGATGGTTGCTTTGAAACTTACGTTGGTTTAAAGTTTGTTTATGTTTGGTTTAGGGTTGATTTAGGCTTGGTTTGATGCCTATTACGTTGACTTAGGTTGGTTTAGGGTTAGTTTAGGGTTGGCCGTTTACTAGATGTCTATTCAGGGTTGGTAAAAGGATGTAAAAGGTTTATTTAGGTTTCGTTCAAATATCATTTAAAGATTTTAAAGTTATTTAAAGTTTTTGTTGGTGTTTATGTGGGGTTGGTTTAGGGGACATTTTGATTTTGTGCAAGACTTTGTGGTTTAGGTTTCGTTTGGGATCTATTGAAGGTTGGTTGTTTGTTTATGTAGGGTTGGTTCAAGATTTGTTTAGGGTATATTTAGGTTTGGTTTTAGGGTTTGTTTAGGGTTAGTATTAAGATTTGTGTAGGTGCTGCTCCAAGTTTATTTAGGGTTGATTCAGGATGTATTTGGGATTGGTTTGTGGTTGGTTTAGGTGTTATTTAGGGTTGGTTCAGGGTTTCTTTGGGGTTGGCTTAGGGGTTATTTTGGATTGGTTTAAAGTCTATGTAGGTCTTGTTTCCGGTGTCTTTAAGGTTGGTTTAGTGATTTATTTCTGGTTGGTTCAGGGTTAGTTTAGGATTTATGTAGGGTTGCTGTGTGGTTTATTTGGGTTTGCTTGTTTAATAAGTGTTCTTTAGGGTTTATTTACGGTTGGCTTATGGCTTTTTAGGGGTGGCTTAGGGTTTAGATGGGGTTGGTTTAGGGATTATTTGCGATTGGTTTAAAGTTGCTTTTGGTTTCGCTTACAACTTATTTAAGGTTCGTTTAGGTTTCGTTTAGGGTTTATGTAAAATTTGTTTAGGGTTTATTTAGGGTTAGTTTAGGGCTGATTGATGGTTGGTTTAGGATTCGTTTAAGACTTACTTTGGCTTGGGGGGGTAGTATAGGGGTTATTGAGGCTGATTTAGAATTTTTTTACGGCTGGTTGAATGAAGGATAATCTTCAAAATGTTTTAAGGCACCAGAGCCACCAAAGGACGGAAGAACCAAGGGACCAGAAGACCAGAGGACCAAGGGACCGGAGGACCAAGGGAGCAGAGGACCAAGGGACCAAAGGACCAAGGGACCAAAGGACCAGGGGACCAAGGGAGAGGACTGAAGGACCGGGAGATTCAAAGACCACAAGATTTGAAAATTGCATAAAAGGGCCAAAACACTGCACCAGCGCAGGAACATGATTTTTTTTTGATCCCTTAATTTTTTTTTAAAAATTGATGCCTTAAATATTTATTTTTTGGTGCCTTATTTTTTTTGGAACCCCATGCCTTTTAAAACAATGTTTTAATTTAATTCAGAATTCGGTTGCGTTTAGTTGAGTTTAGTTCTACTGCTTCGGATCTGGGAGAAAAAAACACCTGCCTGCAGAAAGCAACGGTTCAATCACCTTGGACAACAAATGGTATGGCAACTGAAAGAAACGTGGGCACTGCAGGTTGAATTTTCTTCATCAATTTTGCCCATCGCGTGAAGGCACACAACAATATTTGCTTGGTTTACACCAAGTTTAATGCACTCTCATATGGTTACAAGTTATCGTTTTTTTTTTGGCCCTATCGCTTTACATGGTTTGGTGCACTTTCCCAACACAACTGGACCCTCCCTTACTAAAGTAGTCTACGCTTATTTGACCGCAACTCATATAGTATTGTATAAAATGTATAGGAATGTAGTGATTGTGTGTATGTGTGTATTGTGTGTGTATGCAACTACATATCAGTGTGGTGGACCATGCGCAGCTAGGATGCCTCGGATGAGCAAGTCAAGGCATCAACCAAGAGGATTGAGGCAACATCCTCAGCTGTTGTCATTCCACTCTTTGGCAGTATTGAGGCTTTTCTTGCGAACCAATCGCTTCAACTTGTCATGTGATGGAACCAGATATTGCAAGCCGTGACTTGGCTGAAAGATGAATTCACCTTGGGAAAACCAAAAGTCTTGCCTCGCAGTCAGGGGCAGACAAGCAGGTCGTGACACCTTGGCTTAGCCAATTCTGAGGTTTCATGCTACTTTCTCACAACATTCTCGGGGCATCTGAAACTGAGCCCAGAGCGGGTGATGTCCAAATCTGGCTTGAAGATTTGCCACATCTCCTGTCGCACCTTCGCCGTCGGCAGCAAGATTGCTCTTGGATGCTTTCTGATCCTTTCATCCCCTTGCCAATACACACAGCACATTTAACCTGGGCGTTCCAGTTTTATAGGGGACCCATGCCTATCCTTTCAAAATGCCCTTTTGGGACCATCTATAAAATTGAAACCTTGACAGACATATACATAATCAGCCCTATAAAATTACAACCTGCTAGTAACCCATCAATGTCATCAAACCCAAAAACACTACAAAATTGGGACGCCCAGGTTAAACGTGTGCAGGGTACAAGCTCCAAATTGACCCCTATAAAATTAGGGCCATCCAAAATGGTTTGATCATAGGTGTTTTTTAAATTAAAGTTTGGTGTCCCAAGTCGAATTTTGGGGGGCTCTCTATTTTCCTTCGATTATGTGGTCCCCAATTTTATCTCAGCTTAAGTAATGCCCCAATTCTGTAGACTGAAGTTTTGGGGTCATCAATCGAAGGCACAAAAGTCAAACCATTTCAAACCAACTATTGTAATCATTGAAAGACATTGCCCAAGAAAATTGTAATCATTGCATTTGAAAATATCCAGAAAACCCACGCACACAACACTATAAAGTTAGGGATTTGAACTCCTACATATTATTACACCCTATAAAAATTAGAAACCTGCTGCATGCCAAGGAAGAGAAGCTCGACAACACTGCAGAGGCTGCTGTTTCTGCAGCTCAAGCTGCTGAGGCTGCTGGCTGCTTCTACAGTGCCTTTGCATGCCTTTGCCTTGGGGGATCCTTTTGGAGAGCACCCCCCCTATAGAATTGGAGCCCCTGATCGAAGACAATTTTTAGGGACTATAAAATGGCAGCCCTCAAGGTCCACCCAAAACCTGACATTTTTTTATTTTTTTTGTGTTTTCTTAAAGCATGTAGAAGCACGATGTAAGAAGCCATCAAATCCCATCAAATCCAATCAAATCCCCACATATCATCACATATCACCACATATCATTTCATATCATATCATCACATATCCCCGCTATAAAATTAGGGACTGCCGTTTCTGCAGCTGAAGCTGCTGAGGCTACTGCGAAAGTGCCCTTGCCTTGTGGGATCCTTTTGGATCCTTTTTCTTGCCCGGGTTTTAATGGAAGTGGCGTAAGTTGGTGAAGTTTGACATGATTTGGAAGGTGAACATGTTTTCATGATTCTTCTACTGTTTTAATATGTTTTAATTAAATGTATTAGTATGTTTCATGAAATCTATGTGTTTTTTACATTTGTTTAAATGTTTTTGTTCATGTCTTTCCCTTCTCCACCATGCGCATTGCGCATGCTTGAGCGCTCTGATGTAGCAAAAACAAAATAGGTGCTATAAAATTGGGTCTCTGGAATGCAGCACATTGCAGGTAGCTACAAAATTGGAACCCTTTGGTGACTAAGTTGTTTCATGAAACCATGCATTGATACACTATAAAATTGGCAACTGAACAAAACCATACAAAACCGACACATGTCCCTATAGAATTGGAGCCTGCTATAAAACTGGCGCCCTAGGTCACTAAATTTAGGCACCAAAAAACATATAAAATTAGGACCTGGAGGTTTGAGATAAAATTAGAGCCCACCAAAACAAGGCGAACAGGGCAGCAGAAATTGAGGGGGGACCTGTATAAAAAAATCGTTTTATACAGCACCTAGGTGTCCCAATTCTATAGGGAAAATTGGCTGGGGGATATCCTTTCTATATAACTTCTGAGCGCAAGCAAAGCCTAGCAAACCCTGGCATGGCTGCTCTCATTGCTGAGTCAAAACATCGCGGCCAATTGGCACCTGCCCCCAGTGTCCATCATCACAGCTGTGTCCTGGAAAGGAGGGTCACAAGGCGAAGTTCAAAAGGCACCTCTAATTTTGCGGCGTTTTCGTGGAAGCAGGTTGAGACTTGCACTGCATGGGTAAAGAAAGACCCGCATTTGCAATACCCATACCAGTAGCTCCCCACCCACATTGAAGTTGCATGCGCATGGTATGCCCCTGTGTCCCGTGCTTTTTGTGTTTGAGCATGTTTGAGCCGTCTCTGAACGAACGTCCTGAGTGAGGCTCAGCTGCTACGATCACGCCCAGCACCGCCACACGCATTTGAGGCAAATACATACTGCGGGCTGGGGAGTGACGAGCTGAGACATGCTGAGACCATCAAATACATCGGATTCATTTGGATTCTTCTTGCTATCAAGGTCTTGGAACAGTAATTAGCTGGAGGTTTCAGCATAGTTGTGTGGGCGTCAGGGGCCCTGCGGGCTTGCTGCATTCAGGGTGAATGTCACAACATCATCAACGGCAAAGGTATCATGAAAAGATATAGAAACAATTCAAAACATTACAATGAATCAATAGCAGGACGTCTTGGTTTAGTGCCGGCAAATGCCAGCCAAAGCTTGAATATGACTGTGACAAAGATCATAACATTGCAGCATCTTCTCCAGCGCTGCCCGTTTTTTCACTATAATTTGGACAGGCCCAAATCGCATCCATTTCCACCGCGATGTATTTCTCCATGTCCTGGCGTAAAATGACCGAAAGCATCCGAAACTGTACTCCATCTGGTTCCAAGCTGCAAACATATCCTAAACCGACAGCTCAGAGGTAGCGAAAAATAATCATGAAACTTTAAGCCACCCCCCCCAATGCTTCCCCCCCCAAAACACTACTATGTGGCCAAAAAAAATGTTTTTCTTATATAATCGTTTTTCACCTCATCCCTAATTTACACTTATTAGCGGTCGTTTACATTGCCGAATGTCACCATCGCTAATAAGCGCTTATTAGCGCAAAATCGTTTTTGCTAATAAGCGCTTATTAGCGGTTCTAATGGCGCACTAAAATCACACAATGTTGAACATTGTTTCTTTTGCTAATAGTCACTGAATAGAACTCAATGCTGAACATTCTTGTTTTCACTACATGGAACATTTAAGAATGTGTTTTGAAACTATGAGGTTTCCTGCAGGATTGGGTGTAAAACTGGTAAATATTCAGGGGTTTATGCCAAAATTGTGTCTGAATTTTCCCTGATGTTCTTAATTATCCCTAATGTTCTTAATTTCCCCTAATGTTCTTAATTTTCTCTCATGTTCTCAATTTTTCCTAATTTTCATGATTTTCACTAATGTTCTTAATTTTCACTAACGTTCTTACATTTCCCTAATGTTCTGATTTTCTTCCCTAATTTTCTTAATTTTTCCTAATTTTCTTATTTTCCCTAATCTTCTGAATTTTTCCCTAATGTTGTAAATTTTTCCCTAATGTTCTTAATTTCCCTAATTTTCTGAATTTTCCCTACTGTTTGTTCTTGATTTTCCATGATGTTCTATATTTTCCCTAATGTTCTTATTTCTCCCTAATGTTCTTAATTTTCCCTAATGTTCATCATTTTCCCTAATCTTCTTAATTTCCCTAATTTTCTGAATTTTCTCTAATCTTCTAAATTTTCCCTAATTTCCTGAATTTTTTCCCTAATACCTTCTGAATTTATCCCTAATGTTCGTAATTTTCCCTAATGTTCTGAATTTTTCCAGCCGTTTTCTCAATTTTCCCTAATGCTTTTAATTTTCCCTGATATTCTTAATTTTCCTCAATTTTCTTCATTGCCCCTAATGTTCTTAATTTTTCGCTAATGTTCTGATTTTTTCTTCTCAATGTTCCTTAATGTTCTTTTCCCTGTTCTGAATTTTCCTAATTTTCTTAATTTTCCCTAATGTTCTTAAGTTTCCCCAATGTTCTGAATTTTTCCATAATGTTCTTAATTTTCCCTAATTTTCCCAATTTTCTTTAATGTTCTTTTCCCTAATGTTCTTAATTTCCCTAATTTTCGAAATTTTCCCTAATGTTCTGATTTTTTCCCTAATTCTCTGATTTTTCCCTAATGTGCTGATTTTTTCCCTAGTTTTCTCCTCAATTTTTCCATAATATTCTGAATTTTCCCTAATGTCCTTAATTTTCCCTAATGTTCTTAATTTTCCCTAATCTTCTTAATTTTCCCTCATGTTCTCAATTTTTTTAATTTTCTTGATTTTTCTTAATGCTCTTAATTTTCCCTAATGTTCTGAATTTCCCCTACTGTTCTTAATTTTCCCTCCTTCATTTTCCCTAATGTTCTTAATTTTCTCTAATGTTCTTAATTTTGCCTAATTTTCTGAATTTTCCGTAATGTTCTTAATTTTCCCTAATGTTCTGATTTTTTCCCTAATGTTCAGATTTTTGCCCTCATGTTCTTAATTTTCTTTAATCTACTTAATTTTTCCCTAATATGTTCTGAATTTATCCCTAATGTTCTTAATTTTCCCTAATGTTCTTCATTTTCCCTAATGTTCTGATTTTTCCCTAATGTTCTGATTTTTGGCCTAATGTTCTTAATTTTCTTTAATCTACTTAATTTTTCCCTAATACGTTCTGAATTTATCCCTAATGTTCTTACTTTCCCCTCATGTTCGAAATTTTCCCTAATGTTGCGATTTTGTCCCTAATGTTCTGATTTTTTCTCTAATGTTCTGAATTTTTCTGTAGTTTTCTCATCAATTTTTCTCAATGTTCATAATTTTCCCAATTTGATTAATTTTTCCTAATTTTCTGATTTTTTCCGTAATGTTCTGATTTTTCTGAATTTTCCTTACTGTTCTTGATTTTCCATGTTCTTAATTACCCCTAATTAATGTTCTGAATTTTCCCTAATGTTCTCAAATTTTCCCTAATTTTCTTAATTTTCCTTTATGTTTTAATTTTCCCTAATTTTCTTAATTTTCAATAATTTTCTTAATATTTCCTAATTTTCTGATTTTTCCCCTAATGTTCTGAATTTTTCTCAGTTTTCTGAATTTCCCCTACTGTTCTTGATTTTCCATGATGTTCTTAATTATCCATAATTAATGTTCTTAATTTTCCCTAATGTTCTTAAATTTCCCTAATGTTCTTAATTTTCCTTGATGTTCTCAATTTTCCCTAATGCTATCAATTTTCCCGAATGGTCTTAATTTTGCCTAATTTTCTCAATTTCCCTAATGTTCTCAATTTTGCCTAATGTTCTTAATTTTGCCTAATGTTCTTCATTTTCCCTAATGCTTTACTTTTCACTAATGTTCTTTATTTTCCCTAATTTTCTGAATTTTCCGTAATGTTCTTAATTTTCCCTAATGTTCTGAATTTTTCCTTAATTTTCCCAGAATTTTTCCCTAATGTTCTTAATTTTCCCTAATGTTCTTCATTTTCCTTAATGTTCTGATTTTTAAACCTAATGTTCTGATTTTTGCCCTAATGTTCTTAATTTTCTTTAATCTTCTTAATTTTTCCCTAATACGTTCTGAATTTATCCCTAATGTTCTTAATTTCCCCTAATGTTCTGAATTTTTCTTCTTAATGTTCTCTAATGCTCTTTTCCCTAATGTTCTCAATTTTACCCTAATTTTCTTGATTTTCCCTAATTTTCTGAATTTCCCTAAAATGTTCTGAATTTTTCCCTAATACGTTCTGAGTTTATCCCTAATGTTCTTAATTTTCCCTAATGTTCTGAATTTTCCCTAATGTTCTCAAATTTTCCCTAATTTTCTTAATTTTCCTTTATGTTTTAATTTTCCCTAATTTTCTTAATTTTCAATAATTTTCTTAATATTTCCTAATTTTCTGATTTTTCCCCTAATGTTCTGAATTTTTCTCAGTTTTCTGAATTTCCCCTACTGCTCTTGATTTTCCATGATGTTCTTAATTATCCATAATTAATGTTCTTAATTTTCCCTAATGTTCTTAAATCTCCCTAATGTTCTTAATTTTCCTTGATGTTCTCAATTTTCCCTAATGCTATCAATTTTCCCGAATGGCCTTAATTTTGCCTAATTTTCTCAATTTTCCCTAATGTTCTCAATCTTGCCTAATGTTTTTAATGCTTTACTTTTCACTAATGTTCTTTATTTTCCCTAATTTTCTGAATTTTCCGTCATGTTCTTAATTTTCCCTAATGTTCTGAATTTTTCCTTAATTTTCCCAGAATTTTTCCCTAATGTTCTTAATTTTCCCTAATGTTCTTCATTTTCCTTAATGTTCTGATTTTTAAACCTAATGTTCTGATTTTTGCCCTAATGTTCTTAATTTTCTTTAATCTTCTTAATTTTTCCCTAATACGTTCTGAATTTATCCCTAATGTTCTTAATTTCCCCTAATGTTCTGAATTTTTCTTCTTAATGTTCTCTAATGCTCTTTTCCCTAATGTTCTCAATTTTACCCTAATTTTCTTGATTTTCCCTAATTTTCTGAATTTCCCTAAAATGTTCTGAATTTTTCCCTAATACGTTCTGAGTTTATCCCTAATGTTCTTAATTTTCCCTAATGTTCTGAATTTTCCCTAATGTTCTCAAATTTTCCCTAATTTTCTTAATTTTCCTTTATGTTTTAATTTTCCCTAATTTTCTTAATTTTCAATAATTTTCTTAATATTTCCTAATTTTCTGATTTTTCCCCTAATGTTCTGAATTTTTCTCAGTTTTCTGAATTTCCCCTACTGTTCTTGATTTTCCATGATGTTCTTAATTATCCATAATTAATGTTCTTAATTTTCCCTAATGTTCTTAAATCTCCCTAATGTTCTTAATTTTCCTTGGTGTTCTCAATTTTCCCTAATGCTATCAATTTTCCCGAATGGTCTTAATTTTGACTAATTTTCTCAATTTTCCCTAATGTTCTCAATTTTGCCTAATGTTCTTAATTTTGCCTAATGTTCTTCATTTTCCGTAATGCTCTTAATTTTCCCTAATGTTCTGAATTTTTCCTTAATTTTCCCAGAATTTTTCCCTAATGTTCTTAATTTTCCCTAATGTTCTGAATTTTTCCTTAATTTTCCCAGAATTTTTCCCTAATGTTCTTAATTTTCCCTAATGTTCTTCATTTTCCTTAATGTTCTGATTTTTTAACCTAATGTTCTGATTTTTGCCCTAATGTTCTTAATTTTCTTTAATCTTCTTAATTTTTCCCTAATACGTTCTGAATTTATCCCTAATGTTCTTAATTTCCCCTAATGTTCTGAATTTTTCTTCTTAATGTTCTCTAATGCTCTTTTCCCTAATGTTCTCAATTTTACCTTAATTTTCTTGATTTTCCCTAATTTTCTTAATTTTCCCTAATGTTCTAGAATTTTTCCCTAATACGTTCTGAGTTTATCCCTAATGTTCTTAATTTTCCCTAATGTTCTGAATTTTCCCTAATCTTCTTAATTTTCCCTCATGTTCTCAATTTTTCCCTAATTTTCTTGATTTTTCTTTTTTTTTGCCAGGGCTTCTCAGAGGATTTGCCCCACCACACTGCCCGCATCTTCGCGCAGGCAAGGGTTGCCAGTTGAGCGTGACATGAAATGACAAAGTTTAGCCTAAAGAGCAAGATTAGGTTGTACAAAATTAGTGAAACACTGTCGTAAACTACTGTGCTTGCACTCAGATGTATTCAATGGGAAAAAATGGTACCAAGAAGCATACCGACTTCTCACCAAAGTTTCACGCAGACTGTCCCTGTTTGCAGTGACACTTCTCCAGCAGATTGCATGGGGCACCACAACGTGGAGAACAAAAGGCCGACCCAGCATACAGAGATGGGAGCACAAGTCATCCATGCCACCGCAAAGAACAGAGCCCAAGTCGAGCGATGAGCCTGCTGATTTCCAAATACAAAAACCAGCAGCTTGGTCCAACCAGACAGCTGTCAGGAGCCCTGCAGAGACGTGAATGAAAACAACTTGCAACCAGGCAATCTGCATGCGTAGGAGGTGCTTGGGATGGTCCCAGGGTTGTGCATCCAAAAACTCCACATTGTACCGGAGCAGCGGCACATCTTGCCAGTTCAAGAAGCATGGAGTAAGGGATTTCCATGCCTCACGGTCTGAAGCGATGTGAACGTAGTCACCATCTAGTCCAGTTCTTAATTTCCCCTAATGTTCTTAATTTTCCCTGCTGTTCTTAATTTTCCCTAATGTTCTTAATTTTCCCTAATTTTCGAAATCTTCCCTAATGTTCTGATTTTTCCCTAATTCTCTGATTTTTCCCTAATGTGCTGATTTTTTCCTTAGTTTTCCCCTCAATTTTACCATAATATTCTGAATTTTCCCTAATGTTCTTAATCTTTCCTAATGTTCTTAATTTTCCCTAATGTTCTTAATTTCCCAAACGTTCTTAATGTTCTTAATTTTCCCTAATGTTCTTAATTTTCCCAAATTCATCCCTAATTTATCAATGTGTGAATGAATGGGTTCTTTTTGGAGCAATTTTGAAGGATGATTCATTATTGGGTATGAAAAAGAACATATTTACCAGTAGTACCGCACAAGGCGGTGGCGGAAGTTTCAAAAATAGGAAACCTATAGGAGAGGCTGGTTGTTGTGAATCACGGATGGCAGAGCGAAGCTCCTGATGGACCGAAAGGTGGTTCAGGTCTCTCTCTTTCTCTCTCTTTCTCTGACTACCTATCTATCTAGCTATTTATCTATCTATCTATCCAGCTAGCTATCTATCTATCGATCTGTCTATCTATCTGTCTATCTGTCCCTCTTTCATCTGTCTATCTGTCTACCTGTCTACCTGTCTATCTGTCTATCTATCTATCTATCTGTCTATCTGTCTACCTGTCTATCTGTGGTGCAGTGTAGTGTAGTGTAGTGTAGTGTAATGTAGTGTAGTGGAGTGTCGTGGAATGTAGTGTAGTGTAGTGTAGTGTAATGTAGTGTAGTGTAATTGAGTGTAATTGAGTGCAGTGTAGAGGAGTGTAGTGGAGTGTAGTGGAGCGTAGCGTAGTGTAGTAGATAGAATGTAGTGAAGGTGTAGTTGTAGTTGTAGTGTAGCGTAATGTATTGGAGTGTAGTGTAGTGTAGTGATGGTTGTAGTTGAAAATGCTACAAACCCCCCACGTTTTGCTCATTTTTGACAAGGTCCACAATCCCTTGCGCCTGCCACGCGAAACGACATCTGAACCTCCAAAAAAGGTCCGTACATGGTGTGTTTTGTACATTTTGACTTCGAAATGTGCTTCGCGCCACAACGGCGTGCACTTTTTCGACATCTCAACTGCCAAAAGTGGTCCGTGCATGGTGTGTTTTGTACATTTTGACTTGCAAACGTGCTTCGCGCCACAAAGGCGTGCACTTTTTCGACAGCTCAACTGCCAAAAGTGGTCCGCACCTGGTGTGTTTTGTGCATTTTGACTTGGAAATGTGCTTCGCGCCACAAAGGCGTGCACTTTTTCTACATCTCAACTTCCAAAAGTGGTCCGACCATGGGGTGTGTTTTGTACATTTTGACTTGGAAATGTGCTTCGCGCCACAATGGCGTGCAATTTTTCATCTCTCATCTGGCCAGCTGGCTCCGCACGTGCTGCTTTAGCGAGCCTACTTTTCAACCCTCCGGAGCCAATTGGAAAAACACAGTGTTTCGCGACTTTCCTACCTTTTCGCGCATCTGCATCTTCTTTCTTCTGACTCTTCCTCTTTCTACTCTTCTCTCTTCTAATCTTTCTCTTCTCTCTGCCTCTGCCCTGCTCTGCTTTTCATCTGTCCATATTGTCGGAAGTTTGACTTCTAAACTTCCTTCGATTATTTAACAATCATTTCTCATTGGTGACCAAATGCAGATTACATGGAGTGCTAATAGTGCACTAATAGCATTTTGAATTAGTGCGCTATTAGCAAGCACTTCTACGGAGGGGGAAAAAACTAATAAGCACTTATTAGCTTAAAACCACCTTATTTGCAACAACGACCAGTTTTTAAGCAAATAAGCGCTTATTAGCGCGAAAACACTTTCGTCGCTAATAAGGGCTTATTAGCGCAACATTAATTGTTGATTAAGAAAAGCGCTAATAAGCGCTTATTAAGCGCTTATTAGCGGCGTTTTTGCTATTAGATACAAATTAGGGATAAGGGGGGGAAGCATTGGGGGGGGGGTGGCTTAAAGTTTCATGAGATAAGGAAGTAACTTGAATTCAACTAGTCACATCTGACAAAATATGACAAGTAAGGCTGTGACGACTTGTGACCTCATTTTCTCTTCTTTGGCTTCGATTCCTGCCAATGCATTGTGCAACTCCGTCTCCCCCCACCGGCGGATTGCAATTCACGCCAAGCAGTTTTGCCCTTCACATCGAATCGCCATGTTTTGCTTGCGAAGACCTAGGTGGATAGACTCTTTTCATCTCTTTTCATTCTTGCCCCTTGTTGTCTGCCTCTCTTGTCTCCCTGTCCTTCTTCTCCTCAGCCAGCGTCGTTTCTGCCGGCCTCTTTTTGGAAGGTTCGAGAACCTGAACTTGGCAGCAGCGTCGCCATCGTGTATCTGCGAGATTCTGCGAGCTACTGGGGCCCTTACTGGGGTCACAAAGGGCCGAGTTGCAAATGTACCAGCATGCTGTTTTGTGGCAGCTGGGATGCATCTAAAAGGCGGCGTGCGGCTTGGAACATGATAATGCCATTTGATATCTGTACATACTGTAGGGCATGAGTATGATATACAGATGTGTTTAAAATGCACAGAGGTAATTATATGTTATGTGAAAAGTGTATGTGTGTATATATATATATTATATATATAATATTATATAAGACATGTGTGTGTATGAATGCACATACTACTGCTCCAGGGCCCTGGAATTTGTTTTTGTGGCTTAATGGTGGTTTAATGGTGGTTTAATGAAATAAGTCTTTTGCTGCAGCACAAAAAACCAAAAACCCAAAACACCAAGGGTTTTTCTCAGATCTTATCAACACATAGAAACACCGTCAACACGGGACCTTTTCATACCTTTTCGGGCTACTCATACTCGTATGTTGAAGAGCACCCAGCAACCACAACAGTGACAAGGTCAAGTCTTGCAACAAAGGTCAGTTGGGACAGGCGTGTTTTAGCTTTTCTTTTAAAAGAATGTTTTAGGAATGCAGGTGGTTTTGCGAACTCTTTTTGTGACGGCCGTACCGTCGGTACTTTCATGCCAGCACCTTTACAGGCGCCCGATATTTGCCATGAAAAGGCGCTTGAAGAAAAAATACTAGTCTTTGCCGTTCTGATCCATTCTTCACATTTGTATACATACATTTGCATATTTACCTCGCTGGGAAATGGCGGGCGCAAGCACAAACCCTCCGCAAAACAAATAAAACAGAACAATGTCCAAGAAAGATCGCCACAGCTTCGATGTCGAAAAATCACATGTCCAAAACACCTTGGGCAACCGGTGTGGTCATACCTGTGAAGCGCCCCCGCACAAAAAAAATGACACATTACTTATACAGTAGCATGCCAATTCTTCACATTTCACAAAATGGCACCCTCTCCCTTTGAACTCCCCCAACAAGATAAGCCTGAAAGAAGGCCAGAATAAGAATCTAATTTAACTGCTATTTGGGCTTAATTAAGCCTTGTTAAGGCTTAATAAGGGGTTATTTAATTTTCAGAAAATAAGCTTGGATAACCCCAAAATAAGCTTTCGACATGGTTTGACAGAATAATACACATTCTAGGAGAATAAGGCCAAATAAGCCAAAAATAAGGTTTTGCATGGTTTTGCCATGAAAACTAATACCCGGAGAAAAAAGACCATCCCGGAATGAATTAGTCCGGAGACAAGGTCTTGACAGAAATACTAATGCAGAATCGAATCTTGAGTTGCTGAAATCCACAACATGGGATTGACAGGAAGGGTCCTTCGTGCCCTTAGGCTCAGAGCTGTGCTGAATGGTGACAAAACAATACAAAACACAGAAAGGGGTTTGGGACCTGTGAACATTTTAGGGGGTCAGATTCGTCTCGTAGGCTTTGTAGATGGGATGAGCTACTTGGGGGGAAGGGTTGGTTACTGCAGGGTAGATCCTTAAAATTCCCTAAAAGTGGGGCCTTCAATGGTTTTGTAGGAGGCTAAACATAAGAAATTTTAGATTGAAGCAGACCTTCAGCCCTCAGGGTCTGAAGCCGTTTCGCTACCTAACCTAAGGGCTTGAACAGGTACATGTAAAGCGCTGGAGCTGCACTTTTCACATTAATCGTATGCGCTATGTTTTTCTGTGCGGCACTGATTTTTGTTTTGATTTGTTGTAGACGGGCTAAACGCAGATGAAAAACCTCGAGGACGCTTAGATGGGAGGATGCATTTGGGTCCACTGGTGAGATACCACACATTTCTTGTTGCCATTTCCGGAGTCTCTTAATCTCGATGCTTTTGAGGAAGGCCAAAAAACAGAAAACTCACTATGCTCTGAGGAGGAAGATCCAAATGAGCAACTTCAAAACGTTTCGGAAAGTTTTGTAAAAAAACAAAGTCTGACCTGTCATGTGTGCGTGAAGTGAAACTCAGCTCCCGCGAAATGCTTGCAAAACATGGGCGAAGGGCTGCGCAAACGACAGTGGACGCGGAAGCTTCGCGAAAACTTACAGTACGTCAGCAGAAAACTTATTTGATGTGAAAGGCCCACAAGAGCATCTAAACCAGTGTGGGCCCCGCGAACGCCAGCAAAGAAGCAGCTAGGGACCGTAGCAAAAGCGTTGTTGAAAGCACCTTGGGACTCAACAGGAAGAGCAAGAGGGTTCTTGACATTGCTCCACTAAGGCACCTGATGCCAAATTTTTGTTCGGGCCCTGTTTATTTGTTCTTTTGATTGGTTCTCACATCTTGCAGGTGACTTAATTTGGATTTACCCGCGCTCTTGCAGACTTGGGGTCTGAAATGCAAGTCCTGGAGATGAACCGTTGTTGTGATTCTTTTGCTGGTGGCTTCAACCTCGTCAGACCCCACTGCATCCAAATACTTGCCAAGAGCACCTTAGATATATGACGAAGATAGATACACCAAAAAAAAGTAGATGGCGCAAAAAAAATAAATAAATAGCGCCGGTAGATGGCGCAGCCTGGCCGTAAAATCGCTATTTTTGGCAGATGGTGCGACCCCGAATAGCATCGCTAATTTTGGTAAATAGCGATTGCATTGCGATTGCTTTCTTTTTTTTCGATTCTCACCAAATTTTGCACCAGGGCTACTGCCGGTGGAGCTGCCATCTTCAAACTCAATACAGCCATATTTTTGAAGCAAATGTGGCTCACACACACATACAATGGTATGCACGCACACACACATACACTAACTGGGCACTGTAGATGGCGCAATTCACTTTGGGAAACATAAAATACAAACAGCGAGCTGTAAATAACACGATTCACCAGGAAAAACTTACCGAAATTTGGCATTTGACCCAAAATCATATGCAAGCACACATACACACATACACCAACTGTGGGCTGCAGATGGCGCAATTCACTTTGGGAGGCAAAAAATGCACACAGCGAGCTGTAAATAACCTGATTCACCGGGAAAAACTTACCGAAATTGGGCATTTGACCCAAAATCATATGCAAGCACACATACACACATACACTAACTGTGGACTGCAAATGGCGCAATTCACTCTGGGAGGCAAAAAATGCACACAGCGAGCTGTAAATAACCTGATTCACCGGGAAAAACTTACCGAACGTGGGCATTTGACCCTAGATCATATGCACGCACACGCAGACACTAACCATGCACTGTAGATGGCACAATTCACTTTGGGAGGCAAAAATGCACACAGCGAGCTGTAAATAACAGGATTCACCGGCAATTCACCGGGAAAAACTTACCGAAATTCGGCAATTGACCCTAGATCATATGCACGCACACACACATACACCTTTCTCCTTTCTCCTTTCCCTCCTCCTTTCACTGTCCCATTTCCCTTTCTCCTTTCCCGTTCTCCTATCCCTTTCCCCTTTCCCTTTCTCCTTTACCCATTTCCCCTTTCTCCTTTCTCCTTTCCCTTTCTCATTCCCTTCCCCCTTTCCCCTTCTCCTTTCCCTTTCCCCTTTCCTTTTCTCCTTTCCCCTTTTCCCTTTCTCCTTTCTCCTTTCCCGTTCCCCTTTCTCCTTTCTCCTTGCCCCTTTCCTTGTTCTCCTTTCTCCTTTCCCCTTTCTCCTTTCTCCCTTTCTCCGTTCCCTTTCCCTTTCTCCTTTCTCCTTTCTCCTTTCCCTTTCTCCTTTCCCTTATTTCTCGTTTCCCTTTCTCCTTTCCCTTATTTCTCGTTTCCCTTTCTCCTTTCCCTTTCTCCGTTCCCTTTCCCTCTTCTCCTCTTCTCCTCTTCTCCTCTTCTCCTTTTCCCTTTCACTTTCTCCTTTCTCCTTTCCCTTTCCCTTTCTCTTTTCTCCTTCCCCTTCTTCTTTCCCTCTCTCTGTCCCTTTCCCTTTCTCCTTTCCCTTTCCTTTTTTCCTTTTTCCTTTCTCCTTTCCCTTTCTCCTTTTCCTTTCTCCTTTCTCCATTCTCCTTTCCCTCCTCCTTTCCCTTTCCCTTTACACATGGAACGCAGTGGCAACCTATAGATGGCGCAATCCACAATTATGGTTTTCCAAAAAAAAGGACCCCAGATCTTAATACTAAGTTTAAACTAACCTGGAGGAAAACAGGTTGTTTTCAACCACGTGTGTCGGGAACCTATAGATGGCGCAAAACATCCCATCCCTCAAGTGGTCTATAGATGGCGCATTTCAAAAATTAGCGCCATCCATTTTTAAAATGGAGTAGATGGATGGTTGGATGGATGGTTGTATGGATGGATGGATAAATGGATCGATCGATGGATGGGTGTATATATGTACACATATGTGTATACTTGTATTTTTACTTGTTCCTTGCGCCTCCTCATCCCAGGAGTATTTGGCCCATCTACGTTCTTGTTTCCAAAAGTTGATCTTACGGAGGACCCAGACTGATGTTTCCCCGAAAATGCCGGCACCTGGATGTTTTGGAAGTTGGGCCCGGGCTGTTTAGAAGTTGGAATGCCATGAGGAGAGTTTCAAATTGCACAATATTCAGAGAGCGTGAGTGATCAATCACTGAGAATTGTCTTCGCATGTTTCAAGGAGTTTTGAAAAGAGTATCCTCGCTGCCAACAATCGATACGAAATGGTTCTGAACGTGTCTCTCAGGATTTGGAACCCCTGGGCATGGTTTAAGATTGATTTTCGCAAATGGATGGGCGATGATTGATTTGCAAAACACAATTTAAAAATTGACCATGTTCCAGAACTTCTCTTTCAGAATTCCACGTTTTTTGCTTCCAACCCACATGATAGGCGATATATGGTGGACCAAAAAATGATGAGCTCCTGAAAGTGGGGTTCAAGAACAGTGCATTTCAAAAGCCAAACTCAAAAGGTCTACAGGGGTCTTAAAAAGTCTACAATACAATACTCTATATAACCACTCTAGACCCCTGGCCCTAGACCCTTGACCCTCAAGAGGGGGGCACCCTAGACCTCAAGTAGTAGATCCTATCTTTGTAGAGCAATGCATGTCGTGTCGCTTTTGGATTACAATTAGGCAACTCATGGCAACTCTGTTATGGAGCCCTGCTCGCCCTGCTTCTTTCAATCTGGCAACACATCTGAGTATGCTTGTATCGTTCTGGTGGGATTATTAGCTGAGAGTGGTTGAACTACAATGATTCATTGGCATCTATATGCATAGGTTTACAAACATGATACAATACATATATGGGATTTGGATGAACCTGGTAGAACTTGTTCTGGAATTTCAGGTTGAAACATGTTGAAATCCTTTTTGATCCTGCCTCGTTGGGACTTGCCACCACTTCCGGGCTTGGCTCAGCGTCCACCACCGACGATTTTGCTGAGGGGACCTGGTCGAAGCTAGGAAAAGCCTGCTGGACATCACAAGCCCTGGAAACCCTGGACTTCGCGAACAAACATGAACGAACATGAAACATGAACAAACAAAATTATATACATGAAATTAACTTGTGTCTAGAATGGTCAGAATGCCTGGAGGATTCTGCAGCTGTGAATATTGCGCTTGCTCCAAGAGATAGGGAACAGGAAATACATTCGTTTTAATGTCTGCCTCATCGCTATCGTCCACATCCACGTAGTTTTTCGGTCTTTCAGGCACAGTTGAAACCTGACAGGTTTTTCGAAGAGAAGTTCAAGAGAAGCGGTAGGGGGTTCAGAAGGTTCTCAGGGGTCGTGATGGCGTTGTGGTCGTTGTAGTTCCCCTGGAAGAAGAGCTAGCAGCTCTAGCAAGAGATAGCAAAAACAGAGAAACACAGTACAGCTGTGGTAAATTGTGGTAGTAGTTGAAAGTCTTGTGCTTCAAGAGGAAAATATGGAGAAACAGTTCCGCTGTCTTTTCTTCTGTTGTATCCCCTCCTCTTTGTCTGGGCTTCTTATGCAGGCTGCATACGATCCTGAAACAGCGCCCGTTGTAGCTATGATTTGGCTACGAAACGGTGCTTGTTGCCATTGCTGCTGTTTGCTCTTGCATGCTCTTGGTATCTCTTGCTCCTGCTGCGGTTGCTGGCAGTATTTCCGTGGTGATAGTTGAACATGTAGCCGTGTGACAGATCTGGTAAAATGTGTACGTTCAAGCCTCTCTTCAAATACAGGCGGTCTATGCAATGGCTTTGGTAAATTTGAACAAAGAAAAATGAATGCTGGAATATGGTCCATACAAGGTTTCATAACAATACGACCACGCTTTCTCCCTCCCTCTTTCTGTCTCCCAATGCTATCCAAACCTCACGACCGCTTGGAATTCTAATGGATTCATATTACAGCTATCAAAATTCCCAACAGCGAATCTGTTGGGTTTCAATCTCTGGGGCCAGGGGACTGGTGACACGAAAATGCACGCCCCGAAAAACCGGAACAGTCCTGGAACCTTGCTGGAACCTTTCGCTGTTGGGTTGCAAAGCTGGGCTAATTATCATTATATATTAGCTTCCACTGGCTCAAACGAGGCGCATCTAGCCACAGCGTGGAGCACTTCTCTTGGGCAGATCCATATTGACCGTCTTGGAAATCCTAGTGCCAGTCCTTCAACCTTTTTGTGAGTAGCTAAAAAAATCCCGATGCGAGTCACTGGGCAGAGTCATCTGTGTTTCAGATACATTGCAAGGCATGGCCTTGGAAGGTCATAGTGTCACAATACTTATTTGTATAATTTGTATATTTTTGTATCGCGTATTTTGGTACTAGTGGGCAGTCGTGGAGCATCAGGATATGTCGTGAACCTGCCAACTTTGACCTACAAGTGCTTCACCAACCACAGACTTTTCGGGGTATCTGAGGAGACTAGAAATGTCTTTGGGTGACGTGTCGCCAACAAGGGGGGGTGCTTCATTGCGCAAGAACAAAGGGCCAAGCCAAACACCGGTTCCACCAACATATCCAACATCAATATCTTCATTCATGCCATTACGATCCATTTTGTGTCCTCCTGATACAATTCGATCAGTGCAAACGGAAATCATTGGCCACAGGCTGAACCGGGTTGTAAATCTATGTAAATCATGCATACAATCAGTGCATATCAGCACTACTGTTGGTGGAAGAAACCCTGCACGACTTTCAAAGGCCTACACTTGAAACCTTGCGCTCTTAATATTGTTTGAAGACACAGTGTTCGAAATGGATTTGTGCGAGTGACGGAAATCCTGCACCACCTGTCAACATGTCATTCAACATTGAGCTTGGGGGTGCGGGGGTTACAAGCTATGCATTAGCAAATGTAAGGTTATAGAGGTGGTGCAGGATTTCTTCCACCCACCGTAGCAGGCGCAATTTGGCGCAATGTAATGGACTTCCCTCCTGCGGATTTTCACTTCCCACGAACATGCACAAACACGCCTTTATGCAAGGCAGTTCGAAACCCAACAAACCCTTTACACTTTACATCGCTTTACACCGAGCAACTTTTCCATCAACACTTACTGTTTACATCAACAACCACTTTTATGCACAGCAGGCTTCAATCAGGTTTCCACCTCGCAACTTGACACCAACCTTGTACACACCAAGCGGTTTTGAAACCAGCGGGATTTTAAAAGCCCGGCAGCTCTTACACCAACCACCTTTTTGCAAGCAACATTTCCTACACAGCGAATGGCCTGCTACACCAAGCAACCTCTAGACTCTGGAGCAACAGTCTCTTACGCCAAGTGGTTTGCATGTTTTGCGTGAAACAGGTTGGCACCAGAAGTTTTTTTAAATAGCGACGTGGCCTTTTGCACCAAGCCACTCACCGAAAGCATCTGATTACACTACATGCTTTTCGCATCTTTTAGCTAAGCCCTGTCAGATCTGTCAGGCCAGCGGCTGGCAGAATTGGACAAGCGCGGTTTAACAAATTGAACATGAGTAAGGTGACTCGGTCTGTCGTGGTGACGGAGCCTCCGTCTTCTTCCACAGCGGCCTCAAGGTGCCATCCCCAAACTTTCGAACCTCTACGAACCTGAGCATCAAAATCTGAGGACAGTTCGGGACGTACGTGCAACATCATGCGCAAAACTATATGAACAAATTGCAAAGGGATTTCTGAGGTCATGTTTCCAATCCGGGCATGCTGTGCCATTCCCAGAAGGGTCCTTGTAAGCTGAGACTCAACTTTGCCAAAAGACATGTCAGCAAAATGCTATATTTTGTTGAGGCACGCTTTTGCCCTGGGCGTTGGCAGATTGGTGCATACGAGAAACCACCCGGTTGCAACACTGCAACGCCTGCTGCAGAACATTTATATACAGTACTATATATATATATACAGTAAACCTTCTGGAATGACCAACTGGGCCTGCTACTCTACATATAAGGCAACGCGCCAGCGCCCACCACAACCAAACCGGATCACAAGCAAGCACGAAGGCACACCCTCCAAATGCTCCCAAGCGAAAACATGCGAGATGGTTTGAACATTTTTCCGTTCGACATCTTTGATGCCACTGATGACCAAGGGTGGAAGCCAGCACAGGCACATCATCGGCATCATATTGCAGGACGTTTGCTTGGGCACTAACATGAAACAAAGCACAGAAGTCTATACCATCGAAATCCATCGAACCCCTTATCACAAACATGGACTTAGACGTGGTCATGAAACAACCGCCTGTCGGAGGCACCCCTCATGCAGTCTTATTCATACGGTAACTACATTTAAATATACGGATTTTTAAATATACGAACAGGTATTTAAGACTACCTCCGGGAAGGTTTTCCTTGGCCCGCCCAGCCATTTAAACATACGGAATCCAATTCATTTAAACCTACTGCAGCTACATTTGAATATACGAACTGGTATTTCATACTACCTCCGCCGCCTCGCGGTCTGGCCCGCCCTCCACATATTTAAATGTCGTTACCGTACATTTCATGCCCTGATGTCTGATGCACCCACACCCACCCGCACCCCTGCATATGCAGACGCACACAAAACAGATCAAAACAGCACAGGGCACGCACACCCGTGTGTTGTTCCCGACGTACTTGCGAACGCAGTTGCTGTACCGTAATATTGAACTTTCACCCCCTCAGCAAAATATGCAGGGTCTCGCCCACCCGCATATCAAGTCATATCAATGAATGCAGGCCAGATTGCGGAACGCGTTTCCAAACTTTCCGGTTGGAGTCGAAGCGAATGACAACCATCTGCTGTCTCTCCTGCCAGGGTCTCACTTGCCAACACTCGTCTACATGGCGTTATTTCATGCTACTTCTCAAGTTTTCACAGATTATGACGCAGCACAAACTCAGTCCTCTATCTTTTCTACTGTGACGGTATGGGCTTGCCCGTTGCCTCATCAATTTTGCGCATGGCTTGTCAGGGACAGCTGGCAACTTTCTAACGTCATCGAAGGAAGTTTAGAAGTCAAACTTCCGACAATATGGACAGATGAAAAGCAGAGCAGGGAAGAGGCAGAGAGAAGAGAAAGATTAGAAGAAGAAAGAAGAGTAGAAGAGAAAGAGTAAGAAGAAAGAGGATGCAGATGCGAGAAAAGGTAGGAAAGTCGCGAACCACTGTGTTTTTCCAGTGATTTGGGGCTCCGGAGGGTCGAAAAGTAGGCTCGCTAAAGCGGCGGGTGCGGAGCCAGCTGGCCAGATGAGAGATGAAAAAATGCACGCCGTTGTGGCGCGAAGCACATTTGCAAAGTCAAAATGTACAAAGCACATCAGCCGTGGAGCGCTTTTGGAAGTTGCGATGTCGAAAAAGTGCACGCCGTTGTGGCGCGAAGCACATTTTGAAGTCAAAATGTACAAAACACACCATCTCGGACCACTTTTGGAAGTTGCGATATCGAAAAAGTGCACGCCGTTGTGGCGCGAAGCACATTTCGAAGTCAAAATGTTAAAACACTAGGGGTTTCGGACCACTTTTGGAGGTTCAGATGTCGAAAAAGTGCACGCCATTGTCGCGCGAAGCACATTTTCGAAGTCAAAATGTAAAAGCACTAGGGGTCGGACCAAAGGAGTGAATGGGGGCCTATGCATCTGGGAAAAGGTAGGGTTGGGCTCTCAGATTGTGTAACCAATGGTCCGAAGGAGTGAGGCGTCAAAGTCTCGCACAAAAGTAGGAGGGGGGTAGTGCTGCCTTGGAGAGAGTAGGAGGCGGTGGGGAGGCAGGGGAGGTGAGGGGGGGGAGGGAGGGAGGGAGGTAGGGAGGGAGGAGGGGGGAGGGAGGGAGAGGAGGGCTTCGTTTTTTATTTCTTTTTTCTTCTTTCTTTCTTTCTTTCTTTCTCTTTCTTTCTCTTTCT